CCATGTATTATCTCTTGATTTATAAATAAATTCTCAGATTACTTATCAAAAAAAAATAAAAATCTATTAGTCGTAATCTAAGAAGCACAAATACTTGTAAACTAATTATATACCCGTATCCGATACTTATTCAAGTTTGGATACACTCTAATACGTACCGAATATGTGCTCTTCAATTATTTTATAGTTTTTGTATTTTTAAAATTTTCGATACGTGTTGGACACGCGAAGAAAAAGAGTTATTGGTTTTAAACACTTTTAAAACTCATTATTGTTGGCAATAGATGTCAAAGTATTTTTACTTATTAGATAACTATGTTATTATCAATAACTTATTGAAAATAGATAATATTTATCAATTAACAATTTCAAATAAAGTGAACGTGTTTTAAGATAATAGATAACTAGCTAGTTTACACTTTTTTACACTTCATATAAATTGCTTTAGTATTTTGTTTTTATTGTCAGGTATCACACACACACACACACATATCCGCATATTGTAATTTTTTTTAAAAGTTGTATGAGCATATCCGTATCGTATCGTATTCGAATTACGTATGTGAATCCGTACTTTTTATGTCATAATTATATGGAGACTTTATGGCTTTTTGTTGTTTTACGAATGTTTAAAATGGTTCAAGTACCAAGATGTTTTACCTCTGTAAGATGAGCGTAAGTGTCGGGGCATCTTGAGGTGTAAGCCTCAAAACAAACTAATAAAATAATTTACAAAATATGGAAATACAAAATATCCGCATACTAAACCATAAACCAACTTTAAATTCCATAATAAAACAAATTAATAAATTAAAAGTCTAACTATCAAAAGAATATAAAATAGATCAATAACATAGCAAATATTAAGTTCACAAATTAGCAATAACCTTATGAAATTATAATCTACTATTAGAAGTAGAAGCAATTATTTATTTATTTTTTTTGTCAGGACTTACATCTTGCTTGTTGGAGGTAAAATGTTACAGTACTCCATTGAGCATTTTTAGTCATTGATTCTCTTAATCATCAAGCCTAATCGGTTCGACTCTCTTTCCCGACCCCAAACCTCTCTAATAATCATACACCAGAGATAAAATTCCAGAATGGATCCCAATGCTTGCTAGCCTTCGCATTGGAAAAGGTTAAATAATTTTAAGAAGTCATAATAATGATGTCTCTAATATAAGGATGTCTTCTTAGACAATTTGCTAGCATTCGTATTGGAAAAGGTTAAAATAATTTTAAGAAGTCATAATAATAATGTCTCCAATATAAGGATGTCTTCTTAGACGATTTGGCTTTTGGTTATTTAAGAAAGGATACAATTTTGTAAATGAATATAAGAGGATGGCTATAAGAATATGGATGCGGAACTCTCCTAAAAAGGCCATCTTTTCCTTTTTAGAGAAAATTATGGAATGTCTTCATTTCATGTGGGTTCCATTCTCTCTCCTGTTGGGATACTATTTTTATTTTTTATTTTTTTTATAACCGTGAATGTCCTGGTCAGCTTGCGCGCACCTCGACTAATCCCACAGAGCCCTGAAATTTACGGTCGGATACTCACCTCAATGGCTCTGAGGGGACTCGACCAGTTGGGATACTATTCAGTATTAAAATAGCATAATAGAATGCTTCTCTATAGAATCAATCGAATAGATTTCTCACCTATAATCATAGGTCACTCCAATTTTTAGTTTCCCTCATTTTTGAACTCTCTTATGCTTTTTGTATTTGCCTTTCTTTATATATTAGTTTACTGTTGTCAGACCTTAAGCCCCTGTTTGGTTTGGATTAAAATTCAATTAAAATTTTAAATCAAAGTCAACAATTAATTTTAATCACAAATTTCATGGAACTCACAACTTTTCAACCACACATTTCATTAAAATCTACTAAAAATCTGATTTTAATCTTTACCAAACAAGGGGTAGATATCCATCGCTCCATTTGGCGTTAGCGTCCGAACGGTCATCTCTTGACTTCCAGCTTCTTCAGCAAACCAACTGCCCATTTTATATCAGCGTGCCCTTCATTTGTTCTTAAAATCAACTTTACATTTCCTTTATCCATTCTTAACTCGATCCATAACGTTGTCATAACTACTGGTTACAACTGTGGGGAATGTATGTCGTAAGAGCCATTGGCTTTACTATACAGTACATGTGGCTAGAATTTCTGATTTTAAGGAATATTAATTTATGGTACTCTGATAAATGACTAGAGTCACCTTTGTGTGGTGTGAAGCAATTCCAAAATGGCTGTCCTTGATGGATTAATCGCAAATAAACTTTTTTTTTTTTTTTATTTGCAGGATTCACAGGACCCAAATCCTCTTATTCGCGCTTTGGCTGTGAGGACTATGGGGTGCATTCGTGTTGATAAAATTACAGAATATTTATGTGATCCCCTGCAGCGGTGTCTCAAGGTAGATTAACCTCCTTTCATCGATTGTGGGTTTCCAATATACCTTGCTCATGGTTGACTACTTGACTTATCTCAATGACTGAAATATTTTACTGTTCTCCAGTACATGGTGAATTATTGATTAAGCAATGCCATTTTCTTTTATTTGTTCATTATCAGGATGATGATCCATATGTTCGCAAGACAGCAGCTATTTGTGTTGCTAAACTTTATGACATAAATGCAGAGCTAGTTGAGGATAGAGGTTTTCTGGAAGCTCTGAGAGATTTGATTTCTGACAACAATCCAATGGTGGTTGCAAATGCTGTTGCAGCACTTGCAGAGATTCAAGAGAATAGTACCAGACCCATCTTCGAGATAACCAGTCAAACACTTTCAAAGCTTCTTACTGCTCTAAATGAATGCACAGAGTGAGTTTATGGCTTGAAAATATGCCACTTTTACTGTTAGTTGAAATAATAAGTTCAAACGCGTCCACTACCCTACAACGCATGCACCCACATGGTCACACTTATATTTGCATTATGTGCTTCACGTGTCAGTTATTTTGGGTCGGTTCTAATTGTTGGAAGTTTAACAGTATTTCCAGCTAAAAGAAGAGAATCGTTCTGATGTTGGTTGTTTCAGTAGAAAAGAAGCCAATTTTTTAAATTAATCTTTGACACGCGCCTCAATCGTATTAGAGGTGGCAAGATATTGCCTTATTTTCAACTTTGCTTTTTATTACAGTTATAAAAGAGTGGCAGAATGTGACCTGACATTAAATGTCAATGTCTTTAGTTATTTGCATTCCTTTTGAGCCAATGTATACGCTTTGCATTCAGGATTCTACGCTGATAAGTCTTGGTGTATTTTTCAGAATGAAATCGTTTTTCATTGGGGGCATTATGATGATGTTACCTTTTTTTTATAAACTTATGCGTGATTATATAATATTCGGTTATAATGTTTTTTCTCATACATTTTTGAACACTTGATCGATAGATGTTGTAGTTTTGGAGTTGTAGCTTTGCAAGTTAATCTGTTGTCCATTTAGCATGATGTAAGATGTGAATAGCCCTTAACAGCGGGGTTTGATTTATTTGGGGACAGCATTTTACTTCATCGATTTTTCTGGATGCACCGTTTTTTCAGTTGGTAAAATATATTGCTTGGTGGTGGTTCTTACACAATTACAGACACCTACTTGAGGTTGAAAGTAAAATATCCAATTTGTGATTCTGGCACATGACTGTTGCGTTTCGATTGTCTGGATTATTGTTATTGGATGGGAGCTTGTAGTTTGATGGCTAATGTACTCGCACTTTTTAATTGGTTGATCATTTCAATAACTTTTTTTAGATTTGGATTTCTTGTAAATGGGTTGCTTTTTTGATGTTTGTGATAGTCTATGGTCGTGAAACTAAGGTTTCATTGGAGCAGTTTAATTTGTCTGATGCTCTCTTTTTGTTCATTCAAGTAATATTAATATGGAGATACCAACTGTAGGTGGGGTCAAGTGTTTATATTGGATGCTCTTTCCAAGTATAAAGCAGCAGACGCTCGTGAAGCTGAAAACATAGTAGAGAGAGTCACTCCTCGGTTACAGCATGCAAACTGTGCAGTTGTTCTTTCAGCGGTCAAGGTGATGATCCTTTTCCTCGACTTTCTCGATCATTCTAGACAAAAAATCTTCCCAAATTTATTATTTGTCTTATTTTCATTTAGAATGACCAGTCATTTTTGTTTTAACAATCAAATTCAATTTCCTTACCATTACTGTTAAAAATTCAATGAGGATTATTTTCTTTTTGAATGATATTGCAGATGATCCTTTTACAAATGGAATTAATCACTAGCACTGATGTAGTTCGAAATCTTTGCAAGAAAATGGCTCCTCCTCTTGTGACATTGCTTTCTGCAGAACCTGAGATTCAATATGTTGCATTGAGAAACATAAACCTTATTGTACAGAAACGACCAACTATCCTCGCCCATGAAATCAAGGTGATTTAGTGTGACATTACTTTCGCACGCACTAATGTTTGCTCTTCCTCGAACTAATCATTCGAATATGGAGATGGATTAACAAATACTGCATCTCTCCTCTCTAGGTCTTTTTCTGCAAGTACAACGATCCAATTTATGTGAAGATGGAAAAGTTAGAAATCATGATAAAGCTTGCATCAGACCGAAACATAGACCAGGTAAGTTTTCTTTGTTTGGAGTTAATTATAGTAAGTTGTGTTTTCTGGATTTTTTTCCCTATCGGTTCTCACTCCATCTGCTACACTTACACAGGTCCTGTTGGAGTTCAAAGAGTATGCTACAGAAGTCGATATAGATTTTGTTAGGAAAGCTGTCCGTGCCATTGGACGCTGTGCCATCAAGTTAGAGAGGGCAGCTGAACGGTGTATTAGTGTTTTGCTTGAATTGATCAAGATCAAAGTAAACTACGTTGTTCAGGAAGCTATAATAGTAATAAAAGATATATTTAGGAGATATCCCAACACGTAAGTGTTCTCTCTCCTTTTTTATAGTTTTTTGGTCTTTTGATGATATTCTGGAGATGTACTCATATTTGGTCAAATAATGTGATTCTTGTCCTCCCAAATTTTGATAATTTTACCTTCTTCCTCAGGTATGAATCCATCATTGCGACACTTTGTGAGAGCTTAGACACCTTAGATGAGCCAGAGGCAAAGGTATTCATAAAACCTGAGGATTCTGGCTTTTCTTTCTGTATGTATTTTTACAGACTTTCCCTCTTTTTTCTTCTTTTACAGGCATCAATGATCTGGATAATTGGTGAGTATGCTGAAAGAATTGACAATGCTGATGAACTGCTGGAAAGCTTTTTGGAGACTTTTCCTGAGGAGCCTCCGCAAGTCCAATTGCAGTTGCTGACGGCTACAGTCAAACTTTTCCTTAAGAAGCCAACTGAAGGCCCACAGCAGATGATTCAGGTATGATTTATTGTCTCTGATTCAATTCTTGGGTATGAGTTGGGTCAAAGAGTTTTGACTAATGAAAAAA